AAGACCAAAGAAGTCAGGTGTTTGGGTCCCTACTGCATGAATTCAGCATAAGACTCTCTCCTGGAGTGTTAACTTGACATCCAAAATCATGCGTCTCTATAGGCGAGCTAGTAGGAACCGATGCGATCTTCACATTCTCAGGTTCCTCAAGAACTTGTTCACTGGGGCTGGCTGTTTGGTCACATGCAGTACTAGGTTCTCCAACAGCAACAGGTAGGGCAGGGTGAGAGGATGACACAGAGCTAATGAACTGCAATAGAAGGAATTAGCCTCTATCACCACTCCAGATTTAGAAAATGATTAATATTCCAATGAGAAAATACAGCAAAGGGCCTTTTCATTATTGAAGGTTTTAACATCGCGTGACTGCATTTATGAACATCCGCGGATAATAGTCTACCATAAGATCAGCACGCAAACTCTTTTTTTTTCTTTCAATATGAATTGACAATCCTTACCTCTTGTTTAGATCTCTCCTGGAGGCACCTCTCAGATGATAGTCTCAGCTTCTTTTTCGGACGGTGGTCGAAAATTGTTGGCACTGCATCTGACTTCAACTTACGTTGGGTAAATGTACGTCCAGAAGTTCAGCTTTTAGGTCACGCTTGTAGCATTCAGGTTCAAAGTGATGCGAACATACCCTGGAATCTTTTGTAACAACAAGATCTAGCCGGAATAATTTCACTAGCCACCTCTTTCAAGAGCTTATCATCAGTGGGAAATCTGTGGTAGCTTACCCCTTGCTTACTACCAACATATCATTATTGCAACCCACGGCGCTACAATAGACCATGATGAAAGATTTAGAATATCCCGACAACAGTACTAACTACGAAAGACAACGAACACAACGATAGAAAGTAAACCTTGTGCTATGGATAGCTTTATTTATACGGTTTGTGTTGTGCAATACCGGAAAATTTCTCCTCGTAACTCTCAAAAATTACGAAAGGTTGGACTCACTTATCGCCAACTTACGCCATGTCCAAACAAACGTGCTTTGTAGAATAGTGCCCCGTCATCGTGCCCTTTGAGCTGATCAAGAATAACACAGAACACCATTGTCAAAACGATCCAGTTTCATACTAAATAACCTCATTAAAACATTAAATTATCGCAACTTCTGCCGGTGCGTCTACAAAAAACAAATAAATGCCACCAGCGGGTAAGTTTGTAAGCTGTACAGCTTGTGATGAAGGGAACACTTTAATTGACCAAAATCAGTAAAGAGACTGTTTAATTATAAAATAAATCGACGCTTACAAGTTGCTGCAAGCAATTAAAATCCTTGATGTACAAATTTCATATTTTTACTTTGTTAATATTTCTGCTACACGTATGTCTTTCAAACAGATGTACAGTGAACCTACAATCCTCGCCAAAAATCCTTGAAACACCACTTTCCCCTGTGCAAAGTTGAGATGACATTTCAGTGTTTCACTGGCTACAACAACATTGCAAAAGGGAGGGGGACGGAAGTGGTGCGAGAATGTTCAAAGTGTTTCAAGGTTTTTGTCTAAGATTGTCTGAATTGGCGGGAAGATTTTTGACCATGCGCAGAATATGAAAAGTGACACTTGAAAAAAAATTAATCTCTAGGGCAACGTGTGGCTAGTCTGGTTGTTGTGGTTGTGTGAATGTGCGGCGAGGGATTATAACTTGAGTAAATTTTTTTTCCGTAATGGCAACTTCTGAAGTAGATTATAACTGTGAGTATGAGAGTATTGAAGACAGATCAGAGGAGGAAAGTGAAGAGGGAAGTGAACAGTTGGAGGATAATGGTTGTTCAGAAGAGCTTAACGTGGGATCTCAAGAGAGGCTGTTGCATCGTGAAGTGCGTAGCGTGTATTTAATCACTTACAGTCAAGCCGACCTTGACAAATTTCAAAAGAGAGACAGTTTTGCTAGAACGGTTGTGCAAGCATTCGATGAGACAAGGAGCGGGTTAGCTGATATTGTGCAGTGGGTTTGTAGTCAAGAGCGGCATTCTTCAGGAGGAATGCATTACCACATGGCGGTAAAGCTATCGCATGCACGCCGATGGTTGCGAGTAAGAAATTATCTCGACGACAACCACTCCATTCAAGTGAATTTTTCGTCTCTTCACTCCAATTATTATAGCGCCTGGAAATACACAACTAAAGAAGATAGCGAGTATGTTCAGTCTGTAAATCATCCCGATTTGGTCAACAGCGCCCCACCTCGAACACAAGAGGCCAGTGTGACAACAACGGAACGTGGTGGAACAAAGAGAACAGCCAAGAAAACCAGAAAAAGGAAGGCACCCCGTCTCAGTATTTTCGACGTGTCTAAGCTAGTAGTAGCAAAAGGAATAAAGTCCAGGCTAGAGCTTCTTGCTCTAGCCTCTCGACAAATGAAAGAGGGAAAGGAAGATTTAGCACAATTTATCGCTAACAGAGGAAGTAAAGTTGTTGACGAGGCTATACAAGTAGGATGGGAAATGGAGGAAGCAGAGGAAAAATTGAAAAGGAAACAAATTGTCGGAAATTGTGCGGTGTTTTATTACCATTATCTTTGTAAACATGAGTTTAAGTTTCATTTGATTAAGTAACGTGATTTAAAAGAAGTGTTAAGTGACGTTGGAACCTGATAGCATTGAACTTTGGAACTGAAAGAAAAAAGAACAATAGAAAGGAGAGAATGTAATGTACTGTGAGAATCAAGCGGAGACGGGAAGAAAGAAATAAAACGAGTGAATCGGGATTTCTGTGAGTGTGTTAGAAGATCGTTCAGCTTTGGAGGCAATTCCTAACACAATTGGCACCTCCGACGGGACCTATTGGGATTTTAGCTCAAACAAGAGCAAGGGATTTGCGAAAAATCAAGTACATAGCGACGTGATCAAGGGATTCGCTGAGACTTGGCAAATCGGCCAAAACAACGCTAAAGCTGAAAAGGGCCAACGCGATGGAGGAACTTACGAAAGAATTTAACGGAAAGATTCTGTCTCTAAGATTCTCTCTGACTAAGAATGATGAAGTGATCGCTTCCCAAAACGCAGAAGCTATATCGAGACACGAGGCACTATTAATGTCTAAATTGCAGTCCGCTCATACCGTGAAAGAATCCATTATCGAGCTGAAATTTACAAATGGTGAATCAGAGGAGGAGGTCAGCACTTGGGTGAAAGAGCACGACAAATTTCTAAAGGAAGCGGATGAAAAGGCCTTGGCAATAAGACAACTAGTGGGGAAAATGGAAGAAGACAAGCGACTGGCAGACAGGATGGAATCTGATAAAAAGGAAATGGCCCTCGCGAAGATGAAACACGAGGAGCGAATGAGCCATGAGCGTGAGCTGTTAGATCAACAAGTGAGATTTCAAAAGGCCGTAGAAGCCAGTCAGCAAGAACAAAATGCAAAGAAAACCGTGACTGCAAAGCTGCCAAAGCTTTCTATCACAAAATTCGACGGAACACTTGCAAATTGGCCGCCGTTCTGGAATAAATTCGAGGCCGAAATCGACAAAACGGAATTAGCGCCTGTGACAAAATTCGCCTACTTGAAAGAGCTAGTGGAGCCCAAAGTCAGGGCGGATATTGATGGCTTGCCGCTAAATACAGAAGGATATGAAAGAGCGAAAAACATAATAAAGGAAGAGTATGGGAAAACGAGTGAAATTGTCAACGCCTACGTCAATAACATTCTGGAACTCCCCACCGTGACGAACGCCGACCCGAACCGAGTGAATTCTTTCTATAAAACCCTGCTATTTAACGTCCAGTCACTGGAAACACTTGGAAAAATCGAGAGAGTAAACGGGATGACAAGAAGCGTGCTAGACAAATTGAAACGAATTAAAGCCGATCTGGTCAGGGGACAAGAAAACTGGCAAGACTGGGATCTACCTCGTTTGACCCAGGCCCTGAAGAAATGGAGAGATGTAAACCCAGCGACTGAAGAAAATAACGTCGCAAACAAGTCTACGCTCCCCAAGCGCCCTGAGAAAAAATCTCCCCTGTACCATGCAGAAAATAGAAACCAGCGCCTTTGTGTTTACTGTGATGACGCCAATCACATCTCGCGGGATTGCACGCGCGTGTCCACGATGGACGAGAGGAAGAGAATGCTCGCGCGGAAACGAATGTGCTTTAATTGTACTGGGCCGAAACCCCATGCTGCCGAATGCAAGAGTAAAATGCGTTGCCAGAAGTGCGGACAGAAACATCATACATCGATTTGCAACCAAGGAGACCAATTAATGACTGCCACCGGGAACAAAGGGCGTGTGGTTTATCCTGTTGTGAAAGTAAGCGTGGAGGGAGTACTGTGTCGTGCACTTCTAGATACAGGAGCTGGGAGTTCATATGCTTCGGCCGCGCTGTTAGAGAAACTTCCCAAGCGCCCTCGTGCAAAGGAGGTTCATCGAATAGAAATGATGCTGGGATCGACCACACATGAAGTAGAACTTTCCACAATCAAAGTACGCTCAACGGATGGCAGTGAAGAATTAAACGTTGATGTTACCAAGGTGGAAAGACGGGAATTGCTGATGATCGATAACCCACACTATCAAAAGATTATCAATTCGTACGATCATCTAAAGGGAGTTGAGATGACGGACTGCGACCCTAAGCCACATCTTCCAGTACATCTGATATTAGGGGCGAGCGAGTATGCAGCGATCAAGACGTCCGAACAGCCGCGCGTTGGACTGCCAGGGGAACCAGTGGCAGAGAAGACTAAGCTGGGGTGGACTATTATGTCACCGGGAACTGAGATTGACCACGGGAATATGCTGCTGACCCAAACGAGTCACGTGGACTATGCAGAACTATGTCGGTTAGACGTTCTAGGGCTTGAAGATACCCCTGAACATGATCAGCGCGCAGTCTACGCAGAGTTCCGAGAGCAATTGGTATGGCATCCCGAAGGCTGGTATGAAGCCTCGCTGCCATGGAAAGGTAACCACCCGCCTTTACCGAACAATAAAGAAGTCAGTTTGCGAAGGCTCAGCAACCTCCACAACAGACTTCGACGCTTGGATGTGACCGAGACTTATGCAGAGATCATCGGAAAACAGAAGTCCGAGGGAATAGTAGAAGTTGCAAGTGATCCGCCGCAGGGAAAAGAATTCTACATTCCCCACAAGCCGGTGATTCGTATGGGAGCTGAAACTACAAAGTTGAGGATCGTTTATGACGCCTCATCTAGTGCGAAACCCCAAGTTCCAAGCTTAAATGATTGTCTGTATGCCGGGCCGCCGCTTCAAAATCACCTGTGGAGTGTTTTAGTACGCATGCGTTTCCATCCAGTCCTTATCACTGGGGACCTGCAACAGGCCTTTCTCCAGGTGCGCATCAAGGAGGAAGAGAGAGATGCACTCAGGTTTCATTGGAGGACCAGCGAACATTCTGAAGTAGAAGTGTTGAGATTTACTCGAGCGCTGTTTGGTCTTGTGCCTTCTCCCTTTCTCCTCGGGGGAGTGATAGAGTGTCATCTTGAAACCTGGGAAACTCACATGCCACAACTTGTTGCTGAACTGCGCAAAAGCCTGTATGTAGACGATCTGATCAGCGGGAAACCAACAGTACCCGAAGCGCAACAGCTGAAAGAGGGAGCTATTAAAATCTTCGCGGACGCTAAATTCACACTGCACAAGTGGCACTCGAATGTTGCCGAGTTAGAAGGGAGTGAAAGAAGAGTCGAAGATGAGGGCACGTTTGCCAAACAGCAGCTCGGCCAATCAAAAGCAAAGACCGGTGGTTTGCTTGGACTCCCGTGGGACAAACAGGAAGACCAGATCAGTGTCGTTTTGCCTCAAAATGAGGTAGTCGCGTCCAAAAGAGCATTGTTGCGTAATCTAGCAAAAATCTACGATCCCCTTGGTCTTGCGGCGCCTTTAACTATCAAGGGCAAGTTCATCTACAGAGATGTATGCAACGTGAAAGTGGCCTGGGATGCGCCGCTACCCCCACAGCTAGCAAATCGGTGGACACGATGGAAGAAGGAGTTACCAGCCGAGGTCATGGTAGCAAGGGCCTTAACGTGTGCGCAAGAGCAGATTGAAGAAATCGAGCTTCACGCCTTCGGGGATGCAAGTAAGAACGGAGTGTGTGCAACAGTGCATGCAGTTGTGAGACAGCCATCGGGTGTGAGCCAGGGATTGGTTACTGCAAAAGCTCGACTAGCGAAGCAGGGGCTCACCATTCCGCGATTAGAGCTGGTGTCGGCGCATATGGCAGCAAATCTTATCACAAATGTAGGAAGAGCGCTCCAGGGTTTTCCCGTGAAACAGTGCTATGGATGGCTGGACAGCTCAGTGGCTCTCCATTGGATAAAGGGTGGTGGCGAGTACAAACAGTTCGTAGCAAATAGAGTGATGAAAATACAAGGGCATCCAGAGATCTATTGGCGCCATGTGCCCACCAAGGAAAATCCGGCAGACCTGGGAAGTCGAGGAGGGCAAGTCGATGACAGCAAGCTGTGGTGGCAAGGACCGGAGTGGCTTTCAGACAAAGACAGGTGGCCTACAGACATCGTGACAAGCGCTACTCCTGAGAGCCAAACAGAGGCTAAAGTTACCAAAGAACTTTTTAATGGAGCCACTGCATCAACTGACTGCCTTGATGATCTACTGGGAAAGTTTAGCCTGATAAAGACGTTAAGAATTGTCGCCTGGGCCGCGAGATTCATGCGAAATTCACGCCTAAAGAAACAAGAAAGAATGGCGGGTCCGCTGACAACCTACGAGATTAATGAACAACATCTGTTCTGGACCAAGCGCGCTCAAGAGATTCAAGGTGATGAAGTGACAGAAGACCGGCAAAGGCTGGGGTTAAAAGAGAATGAGCAGGGAATTCTCGTCTGTCGAGGTCGAGTTCAGGGACACTACCCAGTCTATCTGCCTGACATGCACCCCTACACAGTGAAACTCGTTGAAGAAGCCCATCGTCGTACTTTGCATGGGGGAGTCGGTTTGACAATGGCGCGGATCAGAGAGCGTTATTGGGTGCCGAGGCTCAGGCGTCTGACCAAAAAAGTGATTAAGCAGTGTTATGGTTGTCGCCGTTTCCAAGTTAGGGCCGCTGCTAGACCACCACCTGGAAATTTACCACGAGACAGAACCAAAGGAAATCGCGCCTTTCAAGTTGTCGGAGTTGACTTCGCGGGACCCATCAAGTACCGTGTGACCCAGAAGAAGGAAGGAAAGGCATACATAATCCTTTACGCTTGCAGCCTTACGCGAGCACTCTATTTGGAACTCAGCAAGAGCACGGAGACTAGCGAGTTTCTAAGAAGTCTAAAGCGCCTAATAGCCAGGAAAGGAAGGCCGGAGAAGATTTATTCGGACAACGCAAAAACGTTTGTTGCCGCAGCAAGTTGGCTAAAACAAGTCCACCAAGATGAGCAGTTTCACCATTACCTGTCGACTGAGAACATCCAGTGGCAATTCAATTTGAGCCGCGCCCCATGGTGGGGCGGTCAGTTTGAGCGGTTAGTTGGCCTGGTGAAGCGTTCCCTTAACAAAACGATTGGA